TTATATACAAAAATCAGCTGTAATAAGTGAACTGGTTCGGCGTACCACAGGGCTCTCTCTCGCCGGTCCTGTACGCGGCTTACACCAAAAACAAGTAAGAGGGTGGTGCCTAGTCAGACGGAGTTTTAGGCAGAAAAGAAGTTCTACCACCTAGTGATATCATATACAAGGTTATTTTGCAATGTTCAAATTGCAGAGAAAGTTCAAAATAAGTAATTTAAGCGAATGGTGAAAAAAAAATTAAAATAATTCTCAAACATTCTGTCTTTCTTATTTTTTAAATTCAGAATGCGTGATAGTGCACTATTTTAACTGATTGTCATTCATAAATATCTAACGCCTACTATTTTACTACGCATACACACATTCATAAGGCGCCTACCTTGTCTCGCGTCTTCCTGCGCCCTTTCCTTCCGTTATGGAATGTTTAGATTATCGGACTAACAACTCGTAGAGTTATTCGTGGACGAGTGCAACGCAGTTACATATTCCTCTGTATTCATTCAACGTAGATCTTTCAAACATGGATGACGTACGTCTCGTTGCTAAGACATTATGTCTACTTAACTTTTATAGACTCACTAATAATTTAAATGAAAAAAGAAGAAAAGACAGCTGTAGTAGAAATAGTTAGTATTAAGTATAATATATAAAAGTAGTTTCGCTCTAGTGAAATATTCTTAATTTCAGCTGAATTAAGTTCATAGTTATATTTCATGCCTTAAGCGAAAGCGCAAGGTATGTTCTACTATCGCCTAAAAATTAAGATTCCAACGTTTTACCGAATAAAATCGTATCTAGCAATCATATTATACATATAAATGATATAAAAAGCACATTGTTAGAAAGATAAATGATTGTTGAACTTATTAATATTTTTTTTAAATCGATTAATTGCTACTTTTAAATAAAAAAGGGGTTTTTAGTGGCTTATGGTGTGGATTTATCGTGTCCCAAGGCTTGTAAATACGATAACTTTTGAAAATATCAATTGTTTATCTCAATCTATTTTTTAATCTCTTCATCTATAATGTGGGAAGCCACTGAATGTAAATGGCAATGTAATTTTGTTTTGTTTAGCTATAATTAATTTTTTTTCGGCTCCGAAATGGCGAAATTTTCGTTGATTTGGTAGCCTTGTATGTAAATTATTTCTGTAAATGGGAAGCTACAGCCACAGAGTAGTTTACTCACTCACTGAGTTCGGCGCCAGTCGCCGTCCTGAGTGGACATTATTTCGGTTGTTTACAGCGGCTCAAAAAGATCGCTGTACAAATACACAATATTCAAATTAAACAGTGGTAGAGCCACGCGACAGCTTTTGCTGTCGCACGGATGGGCCGGCTCCGAACCGGGGTGGTACCACGACCTCACAGAAAACCAGCGTGAAGTAGAGGTTTACCTCTGCGTTTCGTTTGGTGAGTGCAGGTGGCCGGAGGCCCTTTTTACTGGAAATGAGGCATTCCATCTTAGTCCTCACGGGTGACAACGCATCTACATTTTGATTTGTAATAGAGGATAGATGTAGATGTCTATGGGCCGCAGCAACCACTTACCATCAGGTGGACTGTGTGCTCGTTTGTCACCCTTATCCTAAAAAAAAAATATTCAAATAACCAAATTTCTTAAATACTTGATTATAATAATAATAAGAGATATTTTTATTACAATATTTTAAAAGTACAGAATAAATAATAGTAGTACGTACTAAAAGTAAGTAGTATCAATTTCTTCATCATGGGTGTCATTTTCATGGTTTTCGAGGGTGCTGAAGCCGATAGTGCTGTCGAAATGTAAATCCAAGGTGGCAGCTGCAATAGGTACCAATTTTTTCATCATGGGTGTCATTTTCATGGTTTTTGAAGGTGTTGAAGCCGATAGTGCTGTTGAAATGTAAATCCAAGATGGCGGCTGCAATAGATATCAATTCTTTCATCTTGGGTGTCATTTTCATGGTTTTCAAGAGAGTTGAAGCCGATAGGGTTGTCGAAAAGTAATTCCAAGATGGCGGCTGCAATAGATATCAATCTTTTCATCATGGGTGTCATTCTCATGGTTTTCGCGGGTGTTGCAGCCGATAGTGCTGTCGAAATGAAAATCCAAGATGGCGGCTGAAGTAGGTACCAATTTTTTCATCATGGGTGTCATTTTCATGGTTTTCAAGGATGCTGAAGCCGATAATGCTATCGAAATATAAATCCAAGATGGCGGCTGCAATAGGTATAAATTTTTTCATCATGGGTGTCATTTTCATGGTTTTCGAGGGTGTTGAATCCGATAGTGCCGTCGAAATGTAAATCCAGGATGGTGGCTGAATTAGGTACCAATTTTTTCATCGTGGGTGTCATTTTCATGGTTTTTGAGGGTGTTGAAGCCGATAGTGCTGCTGAAATGTAAATCCAAGATGGCGGCTGCAATAGGTGTTATTTTTTTCATCATGGGTGTCATTTTCATGGGTTTCGAGGGTGTTGAAGCCGATAGTGCTGTCGAAATGTAAATCCAAGGTGACGGCTGCAATAGGTGTTATTTTTTTCATCATGGGTGTCATTTCCATGGGTTTCGAGGGTGTTGAAGCCGATAGTGCTGTCGAAATGTAAATCCAAGATGGCGGCTGAAGTACGTACCAATTTTTTCATCATGGGTGTCATTTTCATGGTTTTCGAGGATGTTGAAGCCGATAGTGCTGTCGAAATGTATTTAAACTACTTTATAAAATTCCGTATAATCATGTTATACGTAAATTTTTTAATGCGCTTAAGGCATGCCCAATTGGATTTACCAATATATTTTTATATATTTTCAACGAAAGATTTTAGAGAAAATTATAACGGTTGGATTGGCCGAGTAAATTATAAGATAGTTCACGGGTCATTTCAATAATGACGAGTATGTAAACACCGATACGAATACACACAAACAATAATTTGATTCGCGCTAAAAAACCGACATTGAGTGGAGTACAGGCGAGTACTCGGGCCGAGTAGAGAGAACACCTGACCAAGGCGTTTACATGTTCGTACTTGTACTTGCCTATTCATCTGTGCTCGGCGGGTACTTAAACGTTCCATTAAGAGTAGAGACAGACTGGTCCCACCTACGCAACGTATGCGATGCAACGCTCTTACGTTGTTCTACTCACTTGACCTACGTATGAAACGTACGGTTGACATCAGACACTCCTTAGCGGACGCACGAGAGTAGAAATTTGTGCCATGTTTTGGATTCTGAGTGAGAGTGAGAATGCTTAGTTTAATGTTCGTAAACGAATATATTCACGCCACAAAGAAAATGTTAAGGTAGTAATTCTGTTAAAATTTATTTATAATGCAAACAAATACATGAATATTTAGAATACAATGTGTTATTTCCGAAAACAAAATCATATTTCATATCTTAACATAACTAGGATAAAAATACAAAAAATACTTTTTTATTTACGCGGCTCGGTCTCTCGCTTTCACGTTAATAACTAAAATCATAGTAGTAGGTGTATACCATGTAGTTTTGCTACCTCTTTCCATACTTAATTAACGTAATGTAGCATCGCGATATTCTACACATTTAATACATAAATACATTCGTATCGCCATACTTAATTAACGTAATGTACACATTTAATACATAAATACATTCGTATCGCTTTACTAAATTGATAAGAGCTGTTCATCTCCCATTTTGACAACAGAACGCGTCCACGATGTAAAGGTCCATTTGTTTATGATGTCATGACGTGCTACGCGTAAGTTCTAGGAACATACTTATCGAACGCGTAGGATTGCGTACGAAAATCTCTTTACACCTTCCAACGCCGATCTGACACTGCAGATCGACATTTCGTCGGAAGCGTGTGATTTCGTTGCATACGATAAGTGTGTTTCTAATGCATAGTTTTTCATACAAAATCAAGAGTCCAGATGTCATAATGCGTCGCATGCGTTGCGTACGTGGCACCAGCTGTCTCTACCTTAACCGTTACACCGCTGCGGGAGAACGCAGGCACCTACCTGCGTTCTCCCTATCGGTCGATAGCTGACAGTGTTGACCGTGAACTCTTTACTTACGAGTGTGCTGTTTTTAAATTTCGTAAGTAGTGGCCCTTTGTTACCAATGACGGAACGAAAATATTCGAACCGCGAATACAATGAAACTATGAAATATAGCGGTGTTACATTTTAAGCAATGAAGTTTATGTGGTGCGCAAAGATTATACGAAAGTGAGCCTTTACTGCGGCAAGAAATTAACGTACGTATATCAATCGAAGAACAACTGACAGCTAATTAAACTATTCAAGTGCACTGTTCCGTGAATGCAGCAATAATTTTGCTGCATTCACGGAACACTGCACTAAAATAAATTTTGAGGTACCAATAATAGTTATTGGGACTACTTGCGTAATTTACTTGTAAATAGTATAGTCCAATTTTTATAATATGTCATAATAATGACAGTCATTGGTTAAGTCTTTGGTAAGTAAAAATATCTAATTTAATTGTATGTACCATGACGATTGTTAAAAGTGTGAAGGGACAATTGAAATCATAATTCGCGTCGTGTAGTTATTAACTTAAGTATAGTAGTGAGCGTTTCACTAAGAAAGTAAACAGTAGGCAAAAACTTTGTGAATTGAATCGCACACACAAGAGCGCGCGTACGCGTAGTTGTTGCTCGTAAATAACATTCAATTTGGGATAATTTCAAATAAAAGTAGAAGCCCTATTTACCCGGATATTCAGAAACTGCTATAACGGTATATCATTATTCATATATATCAACTTTATAGAATTTGGATACTCTGAAAAATAAATCAGTATATGATTTGACACTGAAATTATTCACTTTTTCGTATTGTATTTTATTTCAGACCAAAAAAATCAAATCCGCCCATTTTTTTTTGCAAATGATATAAATTTTGCTCATATTCGTAGTAAATTGTATGGTAATGACAAAAGTTTGTACTGTATTAATTTTGTTCCGCTTGGCCGTGCATGCGCGACGTCAGCGGGGCACGTGCAGCAGCACTACCGCGGCAGCGCGAGCGGCGAGTACGCGTGCGCCTGGCGCAGCTGCGCGCGCGTGCGCAAGGGACAGGCGCCCTTCCCCAACCTGCCGCGCCTGCTGCGCCACGTGCGCGACCTGCACGTCAACAAGGGCAACGGCAGAATCATGGCCGTGCACGAGCGTTCCAGGTGACACGCGACACACGGCTCGCACAACGGAAGGGACAGGCGCCCTTTCCCAACCTGTATCGAGGATCATGGCGTGCACTAGGGACAGAATTTTTTCTTCCGATGTGTATTTCGTTACTATGTTTCACATTTCACACTACACTTTACAGCATTTGTGGTCATAGGAAGACTAAGGAACTTTGAAAACCTAATTTCTTAGCTAACTAAGAATGCCTTAAACTTTTTCTCAACAGTTTTCGTTATGTTTTATCTATCAATCTCAAGGCATAAGACTTAACCAACTGACTTTCGCATAGCCATATCCCTTGCAAGGGGTAAAGTGAAGTGATAGATTTTTTACGCAACTACCACACTGTACTGCTTACCCCATAACGGAAGGACCGATGTCCAGCTGTGGACTTTTACGGGCCGATGAAGAAGAAGGTTTTGCCCAGGGGTATACCTCAAGGATGAACCTTTCCTAGGCCCACTGGTGTTTCTTTTTATTCTGTGCATATATTGCTTCTGTAATATTGTTTGTATGTGTATTTTAACTTTCCACTAATTAAAAGAAATAGTTAAAATCTCTAATAGCGATAAAATTCTTAAAATTTGTACATATACGAGTATTATATGTGTTACGGCCACCAGTTGCCCCGGCAAAGGTCGCCTTGGCTAGGGCCCATAGTAGCCTCCTCAACGAGCAGCCGAGGGTTCGGGCCCAATGGCCTATGGATAAATGTTCTAAAACGACTGACAAATAAGCAAGCACAACTTACCGATTTCCGGAGGTAGGGTTGACCACAGGGTACCAGTCAGGTGGTAAGTGATGTGCATGTAAGTAGTGTGTAGTAGTGTGTACATTGTAACCAACTTAACCGATGAAGTCGGACCGCAGATCCCCAGGCGCTGTTTTTCTCCAAATGCGCGATCCCTCCAGGGGGGCGTTCACCAATTGAAACCTTCTGCTTTTATTTTCACTATATTAGTTTATCAACTTTATTGTACATTTAATTAATTTCAAAGTCAACCAAATCAAAGTTCATCGAAATTAAAACAAGTGACATACGACAAAGAACAGTCGGTCAAAGTTCAATATTCAATGTTCCGGGTTCACTTAGCACAAAATTACAAACCCGGGAACGAACGCGGTCTCTTCTCGAGTCACAAAGTTCAGCGTTCTCTCGACAAAGCCAAATTAAATTAAAACAACTCCATAGGAGGCACGCGCCCGGCTACCGCACAATAATTCTTTCTAGACTTTTACAATACCGTCCGTCGCGCTACAATTATTGGCAATCAGTTAATTTAATCACTCAAAACTCAAATTAGGCCTCTTGTCACGTAACACTCAAAACAGACACTCAATTCGAGGCGGTCTTAACCGGACCCAAATATTCAATAGTAAATTCAAAACGACGCGTACAATTCTGGACACCAGCCGCGCCCGACCTACCAACGGTCGCAAACAATACTAGTAGACAAAGCCGCGGCGTTCAAGTCACTGTTGCCAGCCCACGTGGCCGAAATAACGGGAAGCGGCACACGACCGCGCCCCCGGCGGCGTTTAACTCACCTCGATACCATCGGGTGACGCGCCGAGCGCGCGTTATTGGATGCAAATTTCAAATGTCCATTTTTGGCCTAAACAATATGTACAAATGGTTAAAAATAAGTTCAGATTAATATAAATAAGATCACGCAATTTTCTGATTACTTAGACCGAGTTTTATTGTTGAATATTTTTTATTTACCATTAAAATATGAAATAAAAAACAGTGTTATTTATAAAATAATATATTCATTTTAACAGGAACTTCGTGCCATCGAGTAAGAAACCGCCCAAGGTCTACTCGACCAACTTCCGAAGTGGTGTCATGTCACCAGGAGGTATGTTAAAATTTTCACATTCTATCGATCTTCATCCAAAGCAAAAAGTTAAACAGGGTTGTGTGGCACAATAGTCATAGCTAGAACAGTATCTTAATTAGTCCCTTCTTTTCGAGACAATTATCTTCGTTTCATTTGATCCAAATATTAGGATCGAGGTAGTATTAATACTCGATTATTCTTACTTTTATTAAAACATTGATTTAAGTTCTAGGATTCTCAAATAATCAAATTCTTAATTGAAATTTTAAGCGTTGATTCACCACGTGCTCGGCGATGAAAAACATCGTGAGGAAATCTGCATCTCTGAGAAACTAAAAAGATCATTTTTCGAAGAGATGTGAAGTCTGCGAACACGCGCATTTCACACTTTCTTGCGTTTAAACCTCAGAAATAAGTAGGATGCTTATGCTCAGCAGTCTAACATATTATATGTATAAAGTTGTAACTGTACTGTACAGAGGGGTTAGGCTAATTGTTACAGAACGCCAAATTAGAGATATATAATACGAGAATGTCATGAAAAGTTCGTTTTTTAAGGAATTTCTTCTGATTTAAATGAGCACTGTGGAGAATATATTGAAAATTTAGTAATAAAATATCTAAGATGAAACATTCTACTATCGTTAACGCTATAGAAAACTATAGTCATGTGACTCACGTTCGATATATTGTCTTTTCTATAATTGGGATTAGTCATTAATATTTTTATCTGTTTACATTGTATATAGATTTGATATTTTTGGGGTTTTGTCGGGAATTAGACAGGAGGCGGATTGCTACTCCTGTTTAATTTTTTAAATAATGGTTTGAAGTGGATTTTGATATGTAAAAGTGATGTGATTTTCTGTATTAAATGTCTGTGCTTGTGAACTGTAAGTGGAAACGGTGAAATAAGTGCTCTGATAAGATTAGGCTCTTTAAACGCCTTGAGATACTATCGCTAACCGTCTGTTGGCTCATGTTGCCGTCAAAATCTCCCAAAAACTACTCAACGTGATGCATATATATTGGCAAATAGTGTATTGTTTGTTGTTGTATTGTGTGGTACTGTGTGATACTTTTCAACAAAGTTTCATGATGCATCAAACACTTCATGAAAAATGCGTCATGAGCTCTCGGACCATGTAAAGAATTATTATCAGTTGATACTGAAAATTTATAAAAACGTAGATTCCGAATGAAATGAAGACATGGCTTAAAGGACAAGCATCCAAGTCAAAAATCTTAATTAAAAAAACAAATAATATTGTGTCTAAAATTATGGAGTGTAGAGTAGAAGGAGAACCATCTTATAAGGAGCGAAGGTTGAAAAAGTGTCCTACTATTTACTGTAAATAGAGATTCCAAAACCTACCACAATAGCGCTGGCGTCTGAAAAACTACGATATGAAGATAGCTGTTATGAACGGAGTGAAGTCAGCTGAATTCAAATATTTAAAAAATTTCATGACTAGAGTAGTTAGTAAAACGCCAATATACAAAATCTCAACTATTTACGTAGTACAAAACCAAGCGGATTGATCGGTCCTTATTTATTTCTCCATCTTATTCTAAATAATTTTGACGCTTCTTTTTTAATTTATCCTATGCTACTGCAGCACCACCCTTATTGGACGGACACGTTTTTAGGGACACTTTTCATATACAGAGATGGTCCTCCTTCTACTCTACACTCCATATCTAAAATGAAAATCGACTAAAAGACAATTGAGTGCACTAGTAATTCATTGAAATGAAGACAATTATTCAATAAGCACTTAATACTCGGTATATCGGTTGGTCGCTAGCAACAAAGGTGTTGTGTGTTGCGTGTGCAGGGTCGCTGTCGGGCATGTCGCCGCTGGCGCGCAACAGCCCGTCGCCGGGCGCGGGCGCGTGCGGCGCGGAGGCGGGCGCGGGCGCGGGCGGCGGCCGCGCCGGCCCCGAGCCCATCTTCGTGGCCGCGCCGCCGCGCGCCCAGCGCCTCACGCACTCCGACGCCTACATCAGGTAACCACACCCACACTGACTGGGTAACTAATAAAAATGCCTCATTTTACTAAGTCATAGACTAAATGAATTTATCATCGTTTTTTGTTTCGCTAATGGCACATCAATAGAGGTGTCTATGGAATGAAAAAAGACAACAACCTTGTAAAAGAAACAAGGTGAAAATAATATAGCTATATATATCTTATTTTGTACCATGAACGTCACATGTATTCTTTATAAGTTCATCTATAAGAATTTTGTTTTTATTTTAGGATTCTATACTAGTAATTACTCTGAGCCCAACCTTGTAAAAGAAACAAGGTGAATATAATATAGCTATATACGAGGGTGGATTGAAAAGTACTCGGCCTAACCGAGAAAATAAACAAATACTAAATCAGTTATATTTTTATTTTTCTACATAATCACCATCAAGTTCAATACACTTTTGCCACCTCCCCTTCCAAGCATTTAAACCGTTGAAAAAAAATGATTCTTCCTTAGAGTCAAAATATGCGCTACAACTGCTTTGACCTCGTCGTTTGTCGAAAATCTTTGACCTCCCAAGTGCTTTTTTAGGTTAGGGAACAGAAAGAAGTCTGATGGTGCCAGATCAGGTGAATACGGCGGATGCGGTAACAGTTCAAAGCCACAGTTGTGAATTTCAGTCATTGACTGTACTGACGTGTGAACACGGGCGTTATCTTGATGAAACAGGACTTTTCTTCTGAGCATTCCTCGACGTTTTTCTTTTATTTCCTCTCGTAAACGACGTAGTAAGGTGCAGTAGTAATCAGAGTTTATATTCTGACCCCTTTCAAGATAATCAATCATAATCACACCTTTCGAGTCCCAGAATACTGAAGCCATCACCTTATTTGCCGACAAAATCGACTTAGCCTTTTTAGGGGGTGGTGAACCAGGTCTTCTCCACTGTTTTGATTGTTGTTTTGTTTCCGGTGTACAGTAATGAACCCATGTTTCGTCCATAGTAACAAAACGATTCAAAAAATCATCTGCATCGGCTTCAAATAACTCCAAACAGTCGCGTGAAATAGTCAATCGCGTCCTTTTTTGTTCAACTGAAAGCAGTCGCGGAACCCACCTCGCAGACACCTTGTGGAAACTCAACTCGTTGACAATGATGTTTTAAGTTCGTTCATAAGAGATGCCTATAATCTCGGCTATCTCTCTAATTTTTAATCTGCGGTCTCCCATTATTAAATCAAGTACTTTTTTAATATTTTCGTCAGTAGTTGACGTCGAAGGCCTTCCAGAGCGGGGTTCATTTTTCACACTCTCTCTACCACGCTTAAATTCTGCTATCCATTTTTTGACGGATGAATATGACAGAGCACAATCGCCTAATGTACTGACCATGTCATCATGGATGGCTTTTGATGATAGCCCCTTCTTATGGAGGTACTTAATGACGGCACGCTGCTCGATTTGCTCCATTCGCGGAAATTATGTCCGATTACTTTGTTAATATATTTATAAAATCACAACTAATTATCGCACACGTTTCGAACTTCACACAATGAACTAGTCTGAACTGAACTAAATAATGTGGGTAGATTTGATTTTTAGAATTGAATGGATCTGTGTTAGGCCGAGTACTTTTCAATCCACCCTCGTATATCTTATTCTGTACCATGAACGTCACATGTATTCTTTATAAGTTCATCTATAAGAATTTTGTTTTTATTTTAGGACTCTCTATACTAGTAATTACTCTGAGCCGGCTACTTTCAGATTTTGAATATTAGGCAACCACTAGTAGCCTTATATAAAAAACGTTTTCAGTTTTTTGTCGGGAAACATTCCAGCTAGAAATGGACATAACGTACCATGTCTATCTTTACGAAGTACACTGTGTATCAAGTAACACATCAGTTGAAGAATTTTTAGTATAAATATCCGACACCTTAAGATAGCAATAAATAAGATGCAGTTTTATCACAAAGAGAATAATTATTACCATCATATGTTAAGTAAAAAAAATATATTAACCACCCTTTATTACTCTCATGAAGCAAGTAATACTCACACTATACAGGGTTATTTTTCAAAGACTAGCCAAATTTAATAATTAAGTTCAAAATATAAATACTGAGGTACACTTTTTGCAGTTTTTAAAAATACGCGTAATTTAGGTTTCTACAGTTATTTGAAAATATCAGAAATTGAATGTGACTTATGGGCAACAACTACAGCATTCGCGTTCTAGTGTGTGTACGATTCAATGCACGGAGCATTTGCCTGCTATTTGCTTCCTTAATGACACGCTCGCTTCTAAGTCGATAACTACGCGACGCGAATTATGATTCCAATTTTCCCTTCATACTTTAAGCGGGGTTAGGACTGATATAATAAATATATTTTTTTACATTTCAATGATGGAACTGCAGACTGTTTTTATTATGGCGTATTTAAAAAATTGGAATAAAATATTTACAACTATTAGCAATTGAAAATGATTAACTATTTACAACAACGAAGGTCACGGTCAAGCGAACACTGTCAGCCGGGGCCGGCTGGGTGAACTTAATTATAATAAATACAGGGGTTTTCGGCCCTACTATATAAATATACATATTATTTATTATAATACTCTATTCCAATTACGAAGTCCCATTTGACAGATGTCAATAATCAAGTACTAGTAAAGTACCGCTATAGTCGATACTTGACGATATTGATCTTCGATTACTATAACGAACAAATTAAAATCGTATTTACAGAAAAATGATTATCATCAAATTAAAATTTATAAAACTGTTTTTTAATTTTAATTAGATAATATTACATGATATTTTTATCAAGATGGAACATATTCATCATCACTAGCCGAAATCGATATTTCATGGTCGGCATCGTCGTCATCACCCTCATCATCGTCTGTAGAATCCCCTGTATTTATTATATAATTTGGTTATCTATAACGGCATCGATATGTATGTCTCTGTCCCAATCAGCGAAATTCAAATTTTTTGTTCGTAAAACCACACTTTACTTCTATTCTACTTCTATCACAATCTTCTTGCAACAATGACAACATTTTGTTTGCAGTAAACGGTGGGCTGGTCTTTTTACGAGCCTCATAACCTAAAATAAAGGTTTGCGTATTAATATAGTAACAGATAAAATGTTAAAATAGGTAAAAATAAATTATAAAAAAGATTTGTTTAAATTTTTGCCTTTAATTTGCGCCCAAACCAATTCTATGGCATTGTATTAACAATGGTAGGGTGGAAGGCGCATTGCATTGTGTCCGGCTTCTAATACGTATTTTGGTCTAGCTGGCTTATTTATAACAACCAAATGCAGCAGCTCAACTTTTAACATGGACATGTCATAATTAATAGCATCAGGCGTTACTTTGCGGAAATCCATTATATAAAAGCTTTTACAAAAATTTACTTCGCAAATATCCGCGTTATAAAATAAAATGATGTGTCTTACCTAGTACGAAGAGCACCTCCCGCCCTCCCTCAATTGCGTGCACTATCCCCGTCACCACTAATCCCAGCAGGCCCCATATCTGAAAAAGTAGCTAATACTCTTCGACAAAACGGCGTTCATGTGGCGTTCAAAACAAACAATTCTCTTAGAAATATCTGTAATAGTAAAGATAAGTTGGATATTCGTCAAAAGTCAGGTGTTTACAAACTTGTTTGTGACGAATGCCACGCCGTTTACGTGGGTCAGACTGGTCGCAATTTCGAGACACGTTATAAAGAGCATTTAGCCGCGTACAGGAATTGCAATCCCGATAAATCCCATTTTGCCAAACATCTTTTGGACACTGGACACAACCTAGCCAACGACCACTCCTTTAAAGTCTTACATATGTGTAATAAAGGGCTGCGGCTGTGTGTGCTGGAACAGTTAAGAGATATTAAAAAGTAATAATAATACCGTTGCATTGCTGAATGAACAAACAAATGTTACTAACTCACCTCTCTTAAATATCTTCAAGCCTGCTCTCTAAAAATAGAGAGCCTCGCAATATGGTCGTTTGTCACCCTCACGGTGATCGGCGATTGGTTGCGTGGTTGGAGGGTGGGCGTTGCGCGGCGGTTTGTTTTTAATTTTACAAACGGCTGCGTAAGTCCAGCGGTGATTGGTCGCATGTTTTATCGCATGACGCAGTCGCTCGCTCCTTAGGTAGAGAGCGGTTGCATCATCGGTCTGTATAAAAGGCACTTGTTTTGGCTCGCCGCTCACTTAGCGGTTAGCCACCGTAGAGTCTATATCACCTGAGGATGCCTCGTGTAGAGGCGAAACACGTGTCTTATTATCGTCAGTGGTGTGTCTTGCCTAGTGTAGTGGTGTTGGGAGTAGCGGTGCTGGGATTAGTGGTGACGGGGATAGTGCACGCAATTGAGGGAGGTGCTCTTCGTACTAGGTAAGACACATCATTTTATTTTATAACGCGGATATTTGCGAAGTAAATTGTTGTAAAAGCTTTTATGGACATGTCAGCAAAAGTACTATTGTCGTCATTCAGTCATTTATCGGTTATTATTATCAATATCGGCTTTTTTGCTGCTAGAAGTTGGAGGCTTACTTATTTGTACTGAATGATACGATGCATTATCCATAATGATCGTCGATGGCTCATTCAAGTTGGTCAATAAGGTACAAAATCATTCCTTAAATTTAACAAAATTCATCTCTTCGTGGTATTCCACAGTTTTCTTAGATTTAAACGCCAAAAGACAGTTCGGAACAAATCCTTTCATGGAACCCGCATGACAAATAATTAAACGTTCGCCTTTGCCACTAGGTACTTTTGTGGAGGAGTGAAGAGTGTCGTCTGTCCATACAGTGGTAGAGCCACGCGGCAGAATTGCTGTCGCACGGATGGGCCGGCTCGAACCGAGGTGGTACCACGACCTCACAGAATACCAGCGTGAAGTAGAGGTTTACCTCTGCGTTTCGCTTGGTGAGTGCAGGTGGCCGGAGGCCCTTTTTACTGGAAATGAGGCATTCCATCTTAGTCCTCACGGGATCTGCATTTTGATTCGCAAACGAGGATAGATGTAGATGTCTATGGGCCGCAGCAACCACTTACCATCAGGTGGACTGTGTGCTCGCTTGTCACCCTTATCCTACAATAAAAAATATCTTGCCAACTGTATGATTAGCGTTTAGCCACGTCTCATCTAGAAATATAACATTATTCCAAACGGCAATGGACTTTGCTGATCTTAGAAAATTAAATCAGACTAAAGCTATATTTCTGCGTTCCATCAAAATCCGCCTTTTATCACATTTTTTATAAGAAAAGCCAACATTTTTTAAAACCCTCCAGAAAGAAGTTCTACTGCCGTGAAACAGTCAGATTCTCGTAAAGTATTTAACAATTTATCGAGAGTCGGCAATTCGTTCCTACTATAGTAGCCATAGATATGGTTTCTAATGGCGTCGTTATCAAAATTGTCGATATGTGTAACTATCGATCTTCTAACTTTTTTCTTAAGTGGCGATTTTAATTTGTTATCTTCCATTAAACCTTTACCATGTTTTTCCTTACTTATTCGGGAAACAATTTTTCGACTAATACCAGGAGCTGCACTTACTCGGTTAGTAACTTGTGAAAGTGGCGACAATGGACCACCATTCTGATACTCTCTTTCAAAGTAATCTTGTAGGCGTACTACAAACTCTCGCGCTTGACTGCGCATCACTGTTCTTTTAGTGGTCTCAGTTTCGGCCATAGTGTTTATAAATACAAAAAAAAAAAAACAAATCAAATAACAGTCAAAAATTAATAACAACGAAAGAATTATCAAACAGTTATAACTACAATAACAAGAACGACATAAAAACACAACACAAAATCAACTAAACTGAACACGCGTATCGTATACAAGGCTTCTGCACTCGTACTGAAGAGACAAACAAAATGGCGGTCGTGATCACGAGGTGGACGCGGTGTTGACAGATTTTCACTCGCGAAAAGAATCTGTCTATAATCTATTTTATACGTTTCTTTTAGTCACGTCACTATGTAAAAAAGTAAAAATAAAACTATAGAACGTAAACGCAAAAGTGTCAAAAGGGACTTCGTAATTGGAATAGAGTATAGGCAGTGTAACGGCTTACAGAAGGTTAAAGGTGGGGAGACGAGCTTGTCTTTACCGAGTCAAAACAACTATTAGATACCTAAATCTGTAACCGAGCGCGAGCGCCGAACTGGCCGAACGCTACAGGCTGCTTCCGAATTCAACACTCCTTTTCGAATTTGTGCGTGCGTAATAAAATTGTAGCTACATAATTATGAATGACAATCAGTTAAAAGAAAATAGCAGCTTTACGCTGCTGTGTTTCGTATGGTGAGTGTAGAGAACCGGAGACCCTTTTTACTGGCAAAGAGGCATCTGCATCTTGAGTCTTTATTGAGGATAGATGTAGATGTTTATGGGTCACAGTAACCACTTACCATCAGGTGGACTGTGTGCTCGTTTGTCACCCTATCCTATAAAAAAAAAAAGAATGCATTTCCACACATTTTAAATATAAAAGATACAAAGAACAAAATGTTTGAGTTTTGTTCTTATATTTTTTTTTCACCATTTGCTTATATTACCTGTTGTAAACCGGTACGACTTTCCATTTACTCCCATCGAGTTGGGGGTTGATACGTATTTTTACAGAAAAGTTACACTATTATAAGCACACACACACAAAGTTACAATATGCTGAAGCGCGTAATTTTTGAGAAAAAAGTTATTGAAAATCAATTATTCTTACATTGTTTATGTCTAATCCTACAATAAAACTGACGCCATTTTTTTATTGTCATTGTCAGTAGGGATGTCGATTCTTTTCGAAAAATATCGATTTTTTAAATAGATTCGAATTGTAAGCTGATGTATCGATTCCCAAAAAATCTATTTCTAAAATATCTATATTTTTTCATGTTTGCATTTATAATGTAAATATAAATTCATTTTATGAGAAAAAAGTCCCCTTCATCATAAAATATAGGGGGACTGATTCAGAAGGATTTCTGTATCTATTTTGAAACTGCTACGTCTCCGGCGCTGCGGGAAGAGCAGCCTCTACGCCTTAGCGTAACAATTCGCAGGCATCCCTCCTCGTCCGATGCCTACGATTTGTTACAGCAGGCGGAGGCTGCTCCCCCTACGCGCCTCCGGCTCTATAAAACCACTCTAGGGGTAGGACAGACTCGTACCAGGTGGAGTCGGGGTCAATCAATTCGGTTCTTTGACATAAGTTGAACCTAACCTATTTTATTTGTTATCTGCCCTAATTGGTACTGTTGAAATAAAACAAATTTCAATAAGAGATCATTTATTATGGTATCTTTCTTGTTTTTCATAAAATGGAATTATATTTACATCATAAATGCAAACATAAAAAAATAGATATTTTAGAAATCGATTTTTTTATGAATCGATACATCAGCTTACGATTTGAATCGATTTAAAAATCGACCTTTTTCGGAAAGAATCGACATCCCTACTGACGACAATGACATTACAAAATGGCGTCTATTTTATGGTAGAATTAGATATAAACAATGCAAGAATAATTGATTTTCAATAACTTTTTTCTCAAAAATTACGCGCTTCAGCATATTGTAACTTTGTGTGTGTGCTTATAATAGTGTAACTTTTCTGTAAAAATACGTATCAACCGCCAACTCGATGGGAGTAAATGGAAAGCTAAGCCTGTAAACCTCCTCTGCAAATTTGGCCGGTTATTGCAAAATAACCCTGTACATACTGGTTTGAAGAATATGGAAAACCAGTATAACTAAAGATTACGGGATAACCATCTAGTCCTGAAGTGTGAGAATATATTCTTTTTGGAGTTTGCTGCAGTGATCACTTACCATATTTTCGTTTCCTACTGTTATATAAAAAAGAAGTTTTCGACATGTATACAATATAGGGAAAGAGCAATTTTTTAAATTACCATAACACTAGGATTTCCTTCTATATTTTGAGCCGCCGCGTCTTTGTTGCACATGGGCAATCATCCAGACCCGGAAAAATATTTGTAGGCCATACACACTCGTTCCGTGCGGTATTTAAACCAGCGCCCCGTAATATTGCAGATATATGGTAAGCCACTTCTATTATCAGATGAATAAAATGTCTTTCTTTCCAGATACATCGAAGGCCTACATTCGGAGCAAAAGTATATTACACCGTGGGAAAAATCTCTTACACCGATGCCATCTAATCCCGACCCGGCACAATTCAACGTTCACAAATTATCCCAATGGATGACAGAAGATGCCGTCAATGGATACTTGGCCTACGACAAGAGCCTCACCGAGGCAGACATACAGAAAATGGATCAAAACACAAAGATAGTAAAGGCACTCTGTGTGTTGAGAGATTATATGATGAGGGACGCGTTTGCAATTTACAAAAATTTGTAAAGATTTTTTTGATAAAGTAGACATTAAGTTGACAATCGTGTATTTCAAAAATTTGAATAATGAGAATAAATTTTTATGAACTTATTTATGTTTCTCATTATCATGATGGTTGTTATTTGGCCAGTGATTGACGACTACCCCACCAGTGGCGATGACCGGTGGTGATGAAGCTCTATTCATAACATACATGTGCACAAACATTTTTTTATAAACACTAATTATTATTTTTTCGATCGATCTAGATATCAGTAATAAAACAAATTAGGTAAATAACTGCTTATATTATTTTATAATAAAGTATAAATACAAGAACATTGTAACATATGGCATAACATAGTTAAGTAAGCAAAATGTTTTGACAATATTCAAACATTCTCCACCTCTTCTTTTAGGAGTCTCACTAAGTTATTGAATTTACTTCCATCAAATATAAGAATCTGTAACAAAAATTAGGAATTTCAGAACATTCCAATAATATATTTTACAATACTATAAAACAAATAAAACTATGACTACATAATATGCAATATATCCCACATTTGTTCAAAATATAAAGATGTCGAAACTTGGACGGATCATTATAGCTTCAAGTGCTGCACATAGGCCTGCCCCATGGAATGCCATACATGCTCTGATCTTCAGAGAAGAAATTGATGGACAGGTAGAAAAGTGTATGTAAACCACATCAAGTAACATCATATTACATGATACAATATTTTACAGTACAGTAACAATTCTATAGTTGTATGTACACATTTGGAGATTAAACTTGAAGATTAAAAATTTTTAAAGTGAAGATTATAAATGTAAGATTAATAGTTAATGATGGGATTTTTTAGTTATTACATTAAGTAAACATCACCTTTCGACACGGTGTCAATGCTCCACCTTCATAGTCCCATTGTGACAAATCAGCTTGTTCGGTCACATCCACTTCAAAGCTAGCTAAGGCTTCATCTAATAATGGTTTCTCTTCTTGGTTTGCGAATAAAATCTCAGAGCCCTCATCTGCAATAAAAAGAACTGTTATTCTGACAGACTTCAAAAATGGAAAAAGTTTATCAATTGAAATGTATTTCTTCTTTTAAAGTATGTCTCTAGTTTTTTGAAGTCTAACGTAGAGAATCCTCGAGCATAGCCCTCTCCATATCTCGCTGAGCGACCTTGAGCTCCCTCATCTGGCCAGCACTGCAGGCAGTGTGCCAGAGTGGCAGCCTCATACTGGCAGGCAAAGTCTACACTTGCCCTACGGCATCTCCCCCCACCATATGAAATGACGATCTGGTAAGACATGTAGGAAGTGGATGTATTTTGTCTATGAGGCCTATGTTCAGCAGTGGACTTGTGAAGGTCTATAATGATGATGATGATGAATGTATATGTGTAAATAAAAAAAAAATTCATAATTCAACCACACCTATCAGGACCAAATTTGTGATTACCTGTTTTTGCATTAAACCACCAATATATTGTAAATATGAGTCATTTGGTCCTTTAAAATAGAATTTGTTAATAAGGTAACTACAACGCCGTCTGTTGGATCCTAACAGCTATGAACCATCACCTCGACAAAACTAATACATTGTGTGAACATGACCTCACTAGATCAAGTTACTCACAAATTACACAATTACTAGCAAACACACCAATGACTATATTGAAATAAAGATTTAAACATGGGAAAATAATAAGAGTATAGTGTTGGTTACAGAGTAATCGAATTATTTGTTCTTTATCAGCCTGTAAAAGTCAACTACAGGACATGGGCTCCCCATTGCAAAGGCGGTTGTCTTTCTAGGTAAGCAAGTTCGGACATCTCACATTTGACGCTGCTGCTGCTCTGTCATTCATCTGGATAATTTAATTTTAATTTAAACGAGATTGTTATTTATGGGAAATAAGAAACAGAATTCAGTCTTATCATCATTTAAAACATGCTACTGACCTCCAGTGTTGTATGTTTTACATATCCATATCAAGTAGCGGAATGAGTAGGGCATGTTTTTTTTCACTGCTTTCTCTACTTCGGACTGTAGTGATGCAAACAATGGTACACTAATAGCAGCTGGAATGTTAAGAATCCTGAAATTAAAATATTCACAATATTAATAAAAAGGAGGAAAGTTAAAAATAAAGTTTAAAATCAAAAGTTGCATAAAGGCCAAGCATTCAATGTATACTAATTCTTTAAATCATGGATATATACATTAATTTCATGTATGGTAGAACTATAGTACAACTATATTGTGGTTGTAGCACAAATGAGTTAGCTCGACCAGAGAGGGACTCACAGAATACCAGCCTAAAATAACAGCTTAATGCAGCTGTGTTTCATATGGTAAGTATAGAGAACTGGAGACCCTTTTATACTGGAAATAAGGAATTCCATCTCAGTCCTCAGGGATAACGACACATCTGCATTTTGATTCATAATTAAGAATAGATGTAGATGTCTTTAGGCCACAAGTATTCACTTACCATCAGGTGGACTGTGTGTTCATTTGTCGCCCTTATTCTAAAATAATAAAATAAGTAATTTGTTGAAAATTGGAGTAAATCATATACCACGTAGCTGCTACAAGGTTTATTTAATAACTGACTATATGTTATAGATGTACCTAGTAGTCTGAGAGTTGGCGACGAATTTTGGGAAGGTCCTTTGGGCAAGTTAAAATTGTGAAAAAATATAATTTCGTCAATTGGCGAATCCAGTCCCGCAGGTTTGGCAGAGCGTTTGCGGTTATTTCGTTACTGCACAGCATATAACATTTGCAAAAAAAAAATTAAAAAAAAATGTTTTTTTGGCGACTTGATTTCTTTTTTATCTTCTAATTTAGTTTTTATATAATTCCAAAAAATAATCCCAGACATTTTTGTCGGTTATAAAGTTGTGGCGCCACTGTCGTCGCACCACAAGCGAGACATATCGAAGTCTAAACCGCGCTAACAAAGTTCCGAAATTGAAGCAGTATACATAGAATAGCTCCGAAGTACCACTCGGAGCGTTGGCCGCTCCCCGGGCAGAACACCTTGCCCGGCGGGAGATCTCCCCTTTTCCTTCCACCCGCCACAGTGGTGACCCCGACGTGATCTGAACACGTAACCAACAAACCTTCGGAAACTACACCTTCAAACCTTCATCATCCTCAAGTACCCCATTCATTCGTTCCCGAGCAGATATTGTCTGCAGTCTTTCCATTCTGCAAGCCATCTAGCTTTACAAAGGTTCATCGCAGCACTGGAATAATAATGTTTCCTGTTTCTTCAAGCTACTCTCTGCGCTACAGTGTTCGGCACGGCTCTGAGCCTTACTGCTCGCCTCTGCTTCACGGCACTCTCGCAGATTACTTGCCTTCTTCTCGACTCACCGCAGACTACAAGGCAATCCCGGGCACTTGCAATCGGACTGCACTATCGACCTCCGGTCTGAGCAGGGGCGTGATGTGGCGGCACTGTCGTCGCACCACAAGCGAAACATATCGAAGCCTAAATCGCGCTAACAAAGTTCCGAAATTGAAGCAGTATATATAGAATAGCTCCGAAGTACCACTCGGAGCGTTGGCCGCTCCCCGGGCAGAACACCTTGCCCGGCGGGAGATCTCCCCTTTTCCTTCCACCCGCCACAAAGTATTACCAGACCTCGCCAAAAATATTTTTTTTAAATTCCCAAAAATATACTTTTGGCAATCTCAAATTTTAATCACGTATTTATTGAGTAATTTTTAATAATACCTGCAGATTGTCAGACAAATTTAGCGTTTTTAAACAATTCCCAGACGTGAATAAAGTTTACAAATGAATACGATAAAATAGTCTTATGCGTAGCCATGAGTGCGAGAAAGATAGCTTATCAAAGCATGCCGACAGCGGATTGGGGCCTAAGCTCCTCACGCTGTGATTGGTTACTAAGAAATATCTTCTTTAAAGATTTTAAGACTAAATTCTTATTTTGGGATTTTGCATGTATGTGCATAGATGATCATGTAAATATCTGTGCTGTAATAGTTTGTAAAATAGCTATTAATTTTAACGTCGTATTAATAGTAACCTTGGCAAAAACATGTTTTGATAATTACCACCCCATGTTCTTAAAAACGGACAATATGTATAAAGGGCTTACCGCCCAGAGATGAAGGTGGAAAAAATAACAAGTTGCACGTTCTCTACAGCCGTAACTTTTTCACAGTGATGTGGTACAGAAAGATGAATTTTGGTTCACCTAAATGTAGTTTTATTATGTTCTTTTTATAGGACATCGGGCAGTACTTGCAAAAGTAGATATTTTAAACTATGCTTTAAATATCACACTAGACCGATAGCTATGAAATAAGTTAAATTAAAGATACTAGACACATACTTTTACTATCAATTACAAATAGAAAACTAAACAAAATCACATTACTCTTATTACCAAATAGTGTAAAAAACAAAAACGGGGTAATTGACTTTCAAATTGAACTGAAACCTCATAAATTGTAATATTTGAGTAAAACGACTCCATGGCATAAGATCTGGAACCAGACAGTGAATCTTCAGAGAGTAGTGAAGAAGAGGAGGAAAATTAATAAAATGATAAATCTCTATAAATTTACTTTAGTGTTATAGTATAAACAAAGGTCTGCATGGTTCGATAAACTATCTTTCTTGCAATTATGGCTATGCATAAGACTATTTTGTCGTATTTATTTGTAAACTTTGTTCACGTCTGGGAATTGTTTAAAACCGCTAAATTTGTCTGGCGATCTGCAGGTATTATTAAAATTACTCAATAAATACGTGATTAAAATTTGAGATTGCCAAAGTATATTTTTTGGGAATAAAAAAAAATAGTTTTGGAGAGGTCTGGTAATACTTTATAAGCTACAAAAACGTCTGGGATTATTTAAATTTTGATTATTTTGGAATTATATAAAAACTAAATTAAAAGATAAAAAAGAAATCAAGTTGCCATTTTTTTGGAATTTGTTTTTTTTGCAAATGTTATATACGCGCAGTATACGTAGTAACGAAATAACCGCAAACGCTCTGCCAGACTCGCGGGACTGGATTCGCCAATTGACGAAATTATATTTTTTCACAATTTCAACTTGCCCAAAGGACCTTCCCAAAATTCGTCGCCAGCTATCAGACTATAGTATAAAGCGATATTTTTTTATAAAACCGAAGTGACAATCGAACTTACAATTCAACTGATGGTAAGTGGCTACTGCAGTCCATAGACACCTGCAGCCAACTTCATACAAAGATGAATAAGGGTCACATATGCGTTTTCACCTCCAAGGACTAAGATGGAATGTAATTATATTGGCTCTCTATACCCTTCAGTGCTTCAATGCCATGTAGTGGTGGTGTAAGAATATCCACTGCTCCATATCACCTTATGGGTGTCGTAAGAGGTGACAAAGAGAAACTAAAACAGAAGATGTACAATGGCATCATCTTGATAACAAATGAAAATAATAAAAAACTGCATTTGCCAACCTACCTGCCAAGTGTGGCAACTATGACAAAATCCTCCTTATGAGGCAATCTATAGGAGAAGCCTATGGATCGATGGATACCCTTCAGTCTAGGACGTAGCAATGCAAGTACTGCCATTTGACAGCAGAAATAGGTAAGATGATGGTATCTATCTAAATGAGGTCTTAGGCAGAAATGGAGTACCACCACCTTGTAAAAATATCCATATACATACCACTTACCTCTCATTTATTATAAGACCAACATGCTGTGAGTCATCTGAAAGGATCTTGTTCACTAGAGCTTTAGTCTTATCATTAGCGTTTTCTTCTGCAAGTGTTGTCAGCAACGTCCGAATTTGTTGTATGCACGTTTCATCCTTTAATTAAATATTAAAATACATTGTTTTAATGGTAAGGCAACTGTAATACATAACTTTTTTTATTTTATATTGTATTTGAGTCAAATTCTAGAGATTTTTTATGACTGTTTTCAAATTATAAGAAAGTTGTTAATTTGATAAAGTATCGGAGTAGGAAATTTCTTTTTAAAATACATCACTATGAGCAAGGCCCGCTGTGTTTGTCCCATGTTTACAAATATTGTTTTTAGTGCCCCTCCCCACGGGGAATGCAGTACCAATGAGCAATGTATATCCAATTTAAAAGACTAATCGAGAGAGATGTAATCGAATTATTTGGGTTTTTACCTTTTCTTGGAACAATATGTTTGGGATGAGAGTACTATGATATAACCAAAATATATTAATTACATTTGATGATTCCATATGATAACATGGATTTCACAGTTTTTACATATCAATTCCAAAAAGTTCAGACATTGTCATGTGACTATTGCAGCCTATGAACACCTGGGACTGTATTACTAAATGTTCCTAAGCTCAAGTGCACATACCTCAAGTTGCAGATTAGGTACACGTTATCAGCCTACACTGTGATACACTGTATAATAAACGGAACTCGACTCTCAAGTACACAATAGGTGCATGTTCTTGAGATTCTATAATTTGAGTGCAGGCGCGAATCATATTAATTATAACAATGAAATATAGTATTATTACGATATTCTATAGAGCTCGAGAAATCATTCACTAAAACTTTTATATGAGGAATGGCTCAAATCCATTTGAGTTACCATCCTTTTGAGACGCGCCATCAATCTCCTTATTTTCCATCACAGCCCTATATTTTTTCGTAATATCAAGAAATCATTATTTCTCAATCCATTAGTCAAATTTTTCTATGTACTTTAAAAATTATAATTTTAACACAAGCTCAGTGCTCTTATAAGTAAACAAACAAAGAGAATAAATCACTACTTTTAAACAAACAGATGTTGTTTAAAAAGTAGGGCCATACGACTTAGGGACTTTCAAGAAAAGGGCATACTCCTTTTTAAAAGGCCGGCAACGCATCTGCGATTTTCCTGGTATTGCAGGTTTTAATGGGTTGCGGTAGTCACTTACCATCATCATATAAAAAAAATGTTTTTTGGTGTCATCTCTTTTTTGACACTGACATTGTCACTTTAATGCATTAGGTTATTTGTACATACTGAGTTGACTAGTAAACATTTAAGTCTATTTAGAAACACATACACAACAGTTTCAACCATTAAGGCTCTCTTAAGTACAAAACAACTTTATAATGTGAAATGTTGTGCATGTGATGAATGATATTCTAAACTGTCAATTTTAGGTAATTGTTAACGAGGTCAAGCCCTTAAATCATAGAACACTATCCGAAGTACAGTGCCTTGAGGAGCTGATCTTGGTGACTGAGATATTATTTTTATATATATATTAACTAGCAATAATCTTAAGATCCTGATATTATAATGAGTGACAAATGATTATGCACTTGAGTTGAGGAATGTTTATTAATATGAATCCTAGAACCAATGCATTGTTATATTTATGCAAATACACACTAAATGAAGCTATTGAACTATACTTTTTTTTTTATAGAAGAGGGGGCAAACGAGCATGCGGCTCACCTGATGGTAAGTGACTACCGCCGCCCATGAACAACCGCAACACTAGGGGAATTGCAGATGCGTTGCCGGCCTTTTAGAAAGGTGTAAGCTCTTTTATTGAAGGTTCCTAAGTCGTATCGGTCCGGAAAATTCGCTGGTGGTAATTGATTCCACAAGGAAGTTGTGCGAGGGAGAAAACTTCTTCTAAATCGCACAGTGGTGGACCGCCAATCATCCAGATGGTAGGGATGGTAACGCGAGTTTTGTCGCGATGTGCGATGGAGAAATTGAGCGGCTGGAATTAGTCCGAACAATTCCTCAGAGCACTCCCCGTGATAGATGCGATAAAATACGCAAAGAGATGCAACATCTCTACGCAGTGCCAGTGTATCGAGCCGATCAGAAAGAACTCGGTCGTCGACGATTCGAACCGCTCTGCGCTGGATGCGGTCAAGTGGAAGGAGCTGGCACTGGGGTGCCCCGGCCCAGAGATGAGAACAGTATTCCATGTGGGGCCGAACTTGCGCTTTGTAAAGTTGCAAGCGATGTGCCGGCATGAAATACTGTCTCGCTCTGCTGAGCACGCCAAGCTTTTTAGAGGCCAATTTGGCCTTCCCTTCCAAGTGACCACGAAAGTGCACACTATTCGATATGTCGACGCCAAGGATTCCGATACTAGCTGAGGCAGCAAGGGGAGTGCCTTGAAACTGAGGAGATACGACAAAGGGGTTCTTTTTAGCGGTAAACGCGCAATCTTGTGTCTTCTAGGGATTGAACTGGACTAGATTTAGTCGGCCCCAATCCGAGACTTTGTTAAGCAATGACTCGACTTCAGACACAAGTTTCAGACACGAGAAATATTAGCACGGCCGGTATATAAGGCATCACCAGTGCAACAAACAGCGTTGGTGATAGCCTTGTGGAACACCAGCGTTGATAGGCTTGAAATCAGAGCATGCACCGTCTACTACGACCTTGATGCTCCGTTCAGCAAGGAAGCTTCGAAAGAAGCGCTTTGTGCCAGACCCGATCGAAGGCCTTCGCTATGTCCAAACTAACGGCCAATGCCTCCCCCTTGGACTCTACTGCCTCCGCCCATCTATGAGTCAGATAGACTAGAAGATCACCAGCTGATCGACCTCGACAAAAACCGTACTGGCGGTCACTAATCAGCTGGTGATCCTCAAGGTACCTCATGAGCTGGCAGTTTATAATGGATTCCATTATTTTGGAGAACAAGGAGGTGATGGCAATAGGCCTGTAGTTGGACGGGTCTGAGTGGTCGCCTTTTTTAGGGATCGGGTGGATCAAAGCTGTCTTCCATGAATTCGGGACTACGCCTTGGGAGTAGGAGTACCGGAAAAGACGCGTTAAAACCGGTGCCAACTCAGGAGCACACGTCTTCAGCACAATGGGAGGGACTCCATCGACTTGCTGACGTCCAGGGAGAAAAGTGCTTTGCGAACCGAGCGCTGTGTAAACCGCACATCCGGCATGGAGCACTCACATCGCAGGATGGTCGGCGGTGTGTTCCCCCCGTCATCTAGAGTCGAGTTGGACGCAAAAAGAGAGCTCAACAGATCGGCTTTCTCCTTTGCGGCATGGGCCAGTGAGTCGTCCTCTCTGTGCAGAGATGGAAGAGATGGCTGACAGAAGTTCCCTTGGACAGCCTTGGCGAGAGACCAGAATGCACGGGTTCCCGAAGGAAGGCGAACTAGCTTCTCGCCAATTCTGCCGATGTGCTTAGACCTTGCCTTGGCAATGACGCTTTTGTAGGACCTGGAGGCGGAGTTATACTTCTTTTTAAGTGCACTGGTGTTTACATCCCGAGACGTTGATGCGTCAGCCTAGGCCCGGTAGCACTCCTGCTTATGGCGTGATGCTATTCTACAGGAGCAATCAAACCATGGCTGGGATCTGCCACCGATGGGCACCACAGAGGATGGAATAAAAAGTTCCATACCCTGAAGTACCACATCAGCAACAGAATCGGCAACACCGCTGGGATATTCCGGCGAGAAGCAAACCCAAGGGTAGGATGCAAAAAAAGACCGCATCCCGTCCCAATCAGCTGACCTATAGTGCCAAACACGGCGGCAAGCTGCAGATCGCAACTGCGATTGGAGCGTGAGTGGCACCGTACTCCGGATCAGACAATGGTCCGACGAGCCCAGAGGGGCATCGACGGAGACCTAATATGCGTCCGGATGAGAGGTCAGCAGAAGGTCCAACAGGGAAGGTACATGGTCTTCCACATCTGGGATCCGCGTAGGCGAAGTAACCAGTTGTGTTAGACCATATGCCAAAGCAAAGTCATAGACAGATCTACCCGCATGATCGGTTAAACGAGAACCAAGCCATTCAGCGTGGTGGGCGTTAAAATCACCAAGTATCACAATCTCTGCGGATGGGACCTGTTGTAGCACGGAGTCTGCAGCCATTTGGACGTGGTCGATGAGTCGGTCTGTGTCGGCATTACCGCTATGGGACCTATAGAGGCACCCGTAGACGCGGGGATGATCGTCGCTGTCTACGCGCAGCCATAGGATGGACAGGTCCGTACCTTCAAGACTGACGAGGCGTCGAAAACAGATGTCCTCTCTGACGTATACGCAAACTCCAGCCTGGGGCACAAAGGAGTAATTTGTACCCCAGGTAGGAGAGATATGAAGTATCAGCCGGAGAGGACACCTGAGTCTCGGTTAAAAAGAGCAAGGCCGGCTTCGCCGTCTCTAGATGGTAATGGACAGCATTAAGGTTGGAATGAAGTCCCCTGATGTTGCAAAAATTCACGGATAGCGTGACAGGGGTCGCCTTGGTTGTATTGCTCCGCTTGCCCCGAGCAGCATTAGTCGCGAGCGGAATTTTGCCCCCCCCAGAAACGCGGGGCAGCCTGAGCACCCACGCTCAGGAGTGAAGTAGTTTGGTCGTGGATGCTCAGCGAGGGATTCTCCAGGGGTGTTGGTACCCTCCTGGGGTAGTCTTTTATTTAATTCCACTACCATGTTGATGGGGGGTGGGGGGATTGGGCCTCCAGCCACCTGCACTCACCAAGCGCAATGCAGAGGTAAACCTCAACTTCACGCTGGTATTCTGTGAGGTTGTGGTACCACCCCGGTTCGAGCTGGCCCATCCGTGCGACAGCAAAAGCTACCGCTTAGCCCTACCAAAATACTACTGAATTATAATGATAGTGTAAAGTTAACACTTTTAAAACACTTTTGAGAAAATTTATTTCATCTCATTAGTGTTATTTCATGAGGTTAAGCTTGAAGGAAAAATCCTGACAAAACCAAAATGTTCATGTTCACCCATAAATGTGTATGAGAATAGAATAGAATAGAATGAATAGTATGAGCAAACTACTATTTACCTAAACCTAACCACAGGTAAAATGTTTAGGTATTATTTTAGACAGCAAGTAAAATTGATATAGTCACATAGAACACAAAATAAACAAAACAACTTATGGCATGCAAGAGGTTAATTGGCAGACATTGGGGGTTTGTCACCGAAAATCATCATTTTATCCCATAGAGCACTTGTTTGGTGGAGAATACCAAAATTTAAAGATGCCAGATATTGCCTTGTTCTCAGGGCCTGCATAGCTCTGAGAATGACACCTATAGTGGTTTTGGAGGCTTGGAACTGACACCACTGCATTTTTCATTCAGCAACACTCAGTCATACCTTATTAAAGATTACTGATGTTGTATAGCATTATTAAAAAATAAGGAACTCACTTTTCTTTTAGTAATATTAATAACAGTAGTTATGCCAAACACACCATCACTCCCATCATCATCTTCATCGTCATCCTCCTGTCCATCATCAAGGCATTGTTTCACTACGCTGCCTACGTAGTTCTGTGCTGTAAAGAAAAACTAACCATTAACCAGATGTTATGTTAGACCCAAACATAGCCTTTAACCGACTCCCAAAAAGAAAGGTTATCAATATGTATGTAGACTGATTTCTAAGCATATACATGCTGAAATTTTAGTGGTGGTTGTCCCGCAGCCAAATTATACTGTCTCGATAGTAGAGTCAATTTATTAAATTAAAAAATATTGCAATTAAAAAAGGGCAGATTTACAATAGTAATACCTCACAAGCTATTCGGGCGTCCAAACTAGTTTATGTCGTATCACTATGCTTGAGAGTTCATGTTATGAACATTTATTAGTGGCCCTTTACTGTGTAGGAAGCGCGCAGTAGCGCGTGAGGTAGACGTAACACTACATTAAGTCCAGCAAATTTTTTTCAGACTTTATTATAGTAATTCGGTATAAGCTAGCCTGCACGCCCGACCTACTTGCGAGATATTGCTATTGGTTTGATATCGCATTCGAGTTTTGTTTTTCTCGATTGTAAATCTGCCATTTTTACATCAATTTTATTTTAATAAATCTATTGTACTACTAAGGCAAAATCATTTTACTTCGGGAAAACAACCATTAAAATTTCAGCATGTGTATTGGATCAATCTGTGTGTATACCCTTTAAAATAAAAAAATCTAAATCGGTTTAGAAATTTTACAATTCTGAGGTAAAAAACATTAAAAAACACACCGAATTGATAACCTCCTCTCTTTTTGAAGTCGGTTAAAATTAAACATTACACGATGTGCTTATTGTATTCGAGCAAATTAATTGTGTTTAATAATATTCTTAAATTTTATTACGTCTGCATTTTTTACCATTAATATATGTATAATAAAGTTATATTAGTACCATCATTATCGTGTTTATTTTATTCCATTTTATATTCTCATAAAATACATCTTTGTACGTAATCTTTATTATATCGATTTTTTAAAATTAATCAAAAAATAGTGATTTGCATAATTTGATTGCAATCGCCAGAAACTGGTATCACTGAATGGCATGTATGTGTGCGTGTGATGAGCGTAGGCACATTCAACTCACGCCCACTAACATAATGACCTTGCATCATTTTAACGCTCGTGTTTTGTACTAGACTGCGTTTCTATGCATAATAATTCTATGCTTTACATGGTTAAGGTATCATGGTACTAGAGTATTTAATAGTAAGTCAGTAGAATTGGTTATAGAAATTGAAATTACTGTATATTTCAAGACCTTAATTTGTCTCTCATCTTGTATCAGAAAAAAACCTCATATGAACTTGTATGATAAAAAGAAAAGTATTTTTTTTTCTCAAAAGGTATGAACAATATGTAGGTATGTATGTATATTGTACATTTTAATTATTGTTTAATGATAAACATTGTATAATTGCATGAGGGAGGATTTACCTAAAAATTTACTAATAAAATAATCTGATTTCAACTTACAAATTATAATCTGTGCCAGAGCCCCCAAATCCACATTAGATTTAAGAAACAGTTGGCGCAAAAGTTGTTTTATACCGTGAAAATCACAATCTTCAGGGTTTCGACCTTCAAAATCAGCTTGGAGCTCCTGAAATGTGCATGTAAATACAATCATTCTTACCCATTAGTTAACACTTTGTCGGCTATGTACTGTTGGTGTGATAACTTTGTAAGATATGTGATTTCGTTGGATGCTGGTGGCTCAGGACCGTGCTTTGTGGTACTACTTGGCTTAAGTTCAGCAGTACACTTGTATTTTATTTATTAAAATAGAATGTAACAAATTATTATATTATATATACATTTATTAAAATTGAATGTAACAAATTTTTATTATATATACATATACCAAATAATCGAATATCTTGTAAAATCCACCAGCATGTAAATGATTGAAAGTCGAAAGATTCATGTTACTGAGTCAGAACTATTATCCATTGTCAATAATTTCAAAACACGAAACTCAACACTTGTTTACATACATACCGGTATAATGTTTTGCATTGAGACGATTGAATGACATTACTGGGATAATATTGGTTTCGCCGTTTTACAATGTAATACTATACTAATAGTATGTATTATACTAAGTGATTTATAATTCACAAAAAAATAAAGAATCCGTATGTATTCACGGTTCACGCCATGTGTTTTTAGGTTATGAACTTGCCTTGTCTCCTATGTAATTTCCATCGGAATCCAAATCAGAATCTCTATCGCTCCCTGCATCATCATGTTCATCGTCACTTTCACTGTCACTTATTTCAATTTCTTTATTTTTTTTGTTAGACATATTCGTTAGCTTACAAATTTTACCTGCTGTAACAAAAACAAACTTGAATAAATCGCCGACAGCCGACACAGAACACACAACACAGATTAATATTTTTTTATAACTGGCTTTACGGCTCTGGGTTCTAGCCAAAGAGTATAGTAACTGTCCTATACAGGAGTTCTAGCCCTTCAGAGCCTGAAGTTACAATGTATAATTATCTTTTATCTTTCATAGTACACTGCACAGAGTACATTATTCACAATATGTTGATGCGTCACATTGTGCAGCACTTGGGAGATTTTGCCGACAACCTTTAACTTTAACAAGTTAGCCAATGAGTTTGACTTCGATTTGTTTAACACTAGCGATGCGTCGGCCAAGCGCATACTTAATAATGCATTTTTTTAGCTCTAAGTGAGATATTGATGCGTTTGTTACAAAACTAACGATTTACTTCTTTTATGTTTGTGTTATTTTTTTTCTCTTTTATATGTATAATACATGTTATTACAGATAAGCCCTCATTTGTCATAAATATGTTAGAATTGGATACTCTTGAGTGTTGAATCGTGTTTATCACTGTTGTAAATTCACCTTTGTATCTATTAGTGAGGACCTTTAGCTGGCTTACTGTAGTTATTAATATTATCTATCCTAATTATGATAGCTGTTGGTCTTCCAAATAAAATAAAATAAAAATAAAATAAAATAAAACCTGAGTCAGCAGATAGCCGACAGTTGGCAATGGTATCTTAAGGCGCCTAAGCAGATAGACACATTATCTTGAGAATCACATCACCATCAGAGCACTTGTTTCACTGTTTCCACTAATAGTTCACATGCGCAGACACTTAATACACAAAACTGCACCACTTTTATATATCAAATTCCACTTCAAACCATTATTTAAACAATAATACAGGAGCAAGTCAAGTTCGCCGCCGCCTGTCAAGTTCCCGCCAAAACTCACACAGACTAATATGATCACAGAGTACAATTGCTCTCTAACAAGAGAAGAACGCCAACTTCATACTAAAAAAGAGGTGGAATTTCAAACCTTTGTATTCTGTAACTTTTAAACTTATTGTTTATTTAAGGCAAATACGAGTAATTTTGGCTCAAGGCTGAGAAACTTATTGCGTGAATTCTTATGTATTTGAGAGATTGCTCCAAAATTACTCAAATTTACTTTAGAGGAGCATGTGGGATAAAATAAAACTAAAAGTGGGTACATATAGTTATGTAATTTCATTTTTTGGAAGACATTGTTTTATACACCATACAATTATTATTGACGTTTTTATTACTTTTGCAGATAATATTTTCGCGCATGTTATTGATATACAATATAAGTTATTGTGAGAGTTATTCTTCACAGAACAATTTTGCTGATTTAAATTTAATGTTCTGTACATTAACATAAATTTAAATCAGCAAAATTCGTAAAGTGGAAATTTAATTCAGCCCAAATAATTTAAATTTTTTTAAAATTCGAGTTAATATAGCAACAATGCCTACAAATAATGATCAATAAATTTAACATGCTTAAAAACACCACAATATTCTCAAAAGTTTTTCTTCTTCTATTGTAGGAAACCTGCAGAAAGTGATCAGATGATTTTGTGTTTTTTATATGCAAAACACTTAATTTACTTTCGATGATGATCGTTGATCACATATCGTGCATAAACATTTTAAATAAAGAATTCCTTTATAGTTAATATCCATCGGGAAAACAACTTTTTTACACCTAATTGTTCATCTTTTTTTTTTATAGAATAAGGGTGACAAACGAGCACACAGTCCACCTGATGGTAAGTGGGTACTGTGGTCCATAGACATCTACATCTATCTTCGTTTGCGAAATAAAATGCAGATGCGTTGTCAGTCGTGAGGACTAAGATAGAATGCCTCTTTTCCAGTAAAATGGGTCTCCGGTTCTCTACACTCACCATACGAAACACAGCAGCATTAAGCTGTTATTTTACGCTGGTATTCTGTGAGAGCGTTGTCCTTCCCCGGTCGAGCTGACCCATTCTTGCTACAACTATACTATTAATATAGCTGCAGCATGGCTCCACCACGTAAATCTTATTCAGAGTTCATCATCATCATCATCATCGTCATCATCATCATCGTCATTACAGCCCTTCATAAGTCCACAGCTGAACATAGGCCTCCCCCAAGGAATGCCACAAAGCACGAACTTGAGCCACCTGCATCTATCGACTTCCTGCATGTCTTACCAGGTCGTCACTCCATCTAGTGGGGAGTCGCCATACACTTCGTCTACCGGTACGAAGCTGCCACTCGAGAACCTTTCTTCCCCATCGATTGCCGGTTCTTCGAGCTATATGGCCAGCCCATTGCCATTTAAACTTACTAATATCCGTTGGGTCATGTCGGTTACTCTAGTTCTACTGCGGATATCCTCATTTCTAAGTTTATCACGCAAAAACACTCCGAGCATAGCCCTCTCCATACCTTGATCGTCCTCATACGGCCAGCAGTGAAGGACCTCGTCTCAGATCCATAAGTCATCACTGGCAACACGCACTGGTTGTACAATCTCGTTTTCAGGTTTTGAAGTATACCTGACGTGAAGATGTGTCGTAGTTTCCCAAACGCTGCCCAACCGAGTTGAATCCGTCGACTGCTTCTAGGTCGAAATTGGACTTACCTAGTCAGACTATTTGTCCCAGGTAAACATACTCGTCAACAACATCAAGCTTAGTGCTCCCAACAACTACCGGCATAGGTGTAAACGGTGTGACATGGACATTAAACATGATCTTTGTTTTTTCCATGTTCATCTTAAGACCTTTCCGTTGGGAGACATTATTAAGGTCATTGAGCATAGTGCTTAGGTCCTCCAGCGATTCTGCCATAAGAACTATATCGTCGACAAATCGAAGGTGAGTGATGTACTCGCCATTGATGTTAATACCGTATCCTTTCCAGTCCAGTAGCTCGAAAACGTCTTCCAATGCGAAGAGTTTCAGGGATATAACGTCACCCTGTCTTACCTCTCTGCAGTTGAATAGGTTTCGTACTCTGATTCTGTACTCAAATAGCCATCGTAGCCCTACTGTAACAACACTTCAGCACTTTGATATACCGACAGCCAACTTGGCACCGCTGAAGAACCGGCGGAAACCGGCTTGTTCGGGAGGCTGGAAGTCGTCAAGTCTGCGTGCGAGACGATTCATAATGACTCTCGAAAACCTCAGGTACCGGTTTTCTACCCGCTTTCAGAAGCACCGCTGTAATTCCATCGTCACCTGCGTCCTTGCCGTTTTTAAGGCGCCAGAGAGCCATTCCAATCTCGCTCAGACTGACGTCCAGGTCGCAGCACAAATTCCAACTTGATGTGTTTCATGAATCACTTAGCACCAGCTCTCGATTCTGAGGCCGGTGCCCAGCTTTCTATGCGGTGCATAGAAAGGCTTTCGATAGTGTGGACAATGACGTCTTGTTGAGGAAATTCGCAATGGCTGGTTTCACTCCAGACCTTTTGCAGTTCTTTTCTAGTTATTTAGGGAACCGAAGGCAATTCGTGGACTACGCTGGCTACACCTCAAACTCGTATCTAACCCTTACAGGCGTCGGTCAAGGGAGTAGTTTGGGTCCCCCTTAGACCTTAGAATTTATCATTATGATAAATGACCTTCCAGAGGTGGTCAGAAACGCGGGTTGCTTACTCTTTGCGGATGATCTCAAATTATTCCTGAGGATTACTTCCGACGAGGACTGCAACCGCTTACAATGTGATATTGATCGGGGTCGGGAGAATAAACTGCTGTTTAATATATCAAAATGCAATGTGATGTTTTTCACACGCTCGAGGACCCCGATACATTTCAACTACCTCATGGAAGGGGATCTCATTAATCACGTTGTCTGTATACGTGATCTTGGCGTCTTATTTACCGAGGACGTGACGTTTCGTACTCATATTGTACAGGTGTGTAAAAAGGCCTTTAAAGACCAGGGCTTCATAATGCGTGAAACGCATGACTTCCTCAACACTGCCGCCGTGAAGTCATTATACAATGCTTTAGTAAGAAGCAATCTAGAAACCAGTGCTATCATCTGGAGTCCTTATGAAACCAAGTATAACCTCATGCCGGAGAAAATACAGAATAAGTTTACGCGGTACCTCTATTCAAAGCAATACGGGGTGTACCCTTTTTATCCTCTTATGTATCCAACCCTTTTTGTAATAGGAATGGTTGGATATTATAAGTTTGAGGTTAGACGGAACTTTGCGCTACTTAAGTACATATACTTGATATTACGTGGTAAATTAAACAATCCGGAAATTCTGGAATCACTGCGGTTCCTCGTGCCTAATTCTAGGCTGCAACGAGGGCTGAGGGGAGGGTTGCTGGACGTACCAGTTGCTCGTACAAATATCTTAAAGTACGCACCGGTTGTTCGTGCAGCTAGAATGCTTAACATCGTAGCACAACGATTAGACATATTTAATTGTACATTGGCGGAATACGAGAGGGTGACATTAAACTATTTGTCTTTTTTACATTAGTGGCTACATTGTTGCATTAGGCTCCACTCTTGTAATAACTATTGTGAGTTAGTAAATAAATAAATAAATCTTCGGAATAGTGCCTGGGCTCGACCAGGTTCACTTCCTATGGGGCCGCTCAGCTGGTCAGCTTTTACCTGACTCTCCGATGGGCGGACGCAGTCGAGACCAAGTGCCTCTCGCAATGGAAGACGGGCAGGCTATTTCATCTGAGGAAAGATGGGCGCCCTGCGGATTTGATGAAGGAGATAAGCTCTTCGAGTGAATAAAAGCCCGTCGTGTCATCGGGCATCTTGAAGAGGTGGGTCTTGATTTAGCAGACCAGCACTTTGTCTTTCGAGTGGGTCGGTCCACGATAGACACAGTTAAATGCCTACTCGGACGAGATATTGGCGAGGGGTGTGGTGTTATTGGCGGTGTCCCTAGATGTTGCCAACGCTTTCAATACTCTGCTCTGGGCGTGCAACAGAGA